CGCGCGCGGGGGCGGGGAGGGGGGGGAGGGGGGCGTCCGTAGTTGTTTTTGAGGGAGTACTCGACCCAGAAACTCTCGACCTATGGGTGCAGAGAAGCTCAAGCTTTAGTAGAAGATTTGGCAATGCGCAAGATCTATTTCACCATTGACTGTCTGAGAGTCGCAAACGACCTTCGGACGACACGTCATCTAGGTGGTTATTGTATGATTGTGAGAGCTTAACCCTGGCAAGACTAGTTTTCTGCACGTGAAATATGCCATGAGAAGCGCGAGCATAATTTGAAGCTTACAATATTGCAAAAATGGCTACTAGCTTGGGTTTGGAACGCCATGTGTGGCTCTCCTATCCTCCTGGCAACCTTTGTATCCCAACACTTCCGTCGATAAAATGAAGTGCGCTGTCGCGACTCAGAAGAAATGAACACACGGGGCAAAATTGACACAGAAAATTGAGAGTTAAATATGGCATGTAAAAAAGTGGATTTCAGTTCTTTTCTTTTCATTTTTGACGTGTTTTTTGGGACATTTTTAAGAAAAAAGAAGACATAACACACACGAGTGGTTGACTTAGATGCATGCAGTTTGCAATTGCATTGCCAGGCAGCTTATTCGAACGCAAAATATCCAGCGCTTGTCGCATTCCATTCAGAAAGTAATGGAGTAGGCCGGCGACATGTCCGGATTGAACAGCCCAAAGTGCTTCTCGCTCTTCTCCCCGTCCTTCTTGTTCTCGTTGAACATGGCGAAAATGTACGTCTCCAACGGCCCGGGCCGTTTGGGCGTGCCGTTGCCGACATGGTTGATCAACCCCTGGTTATACGCACGCGCGCTCTGCGCCGTCGCCCCGAAACCTTCGTCCGACGGCCACCCGCTCTCGGATATGACCACCTTAACCCCGGGTCTGCCGGCTTTCTCCAGCGCGGTGTAGATGGAGTCGACCATGGCGTCGAAGAGGTTCGTGTATGTCAGCCCGTTGTCGTTCACGGTGGTGCTGCCTGGCACGAAGGTAGCGAAGTTGAGCTGGATGTTCTTCGGGTCTTTCTCGTAGGCGAAGTAGGGGTAGACGTTGACCAGCAGCGGTGCGCCGGTGCTCGCCAGGAACTCAAGGATGGGCCCCATGAATGATGTGTCCGCGAACACACCGTTGGAGGGCGGAGATGTGTCCTTGACCACGTCGAACCGCACGGAAGTCGACACCTTGACGCTGCCGCCGAGGCCGGCGGCCACGAGCGCCGCTTGTACGTTCCTCATGGCCGGGAGGATGGTCTTCTGGCCGGCGCTGTCGATGACCTCGTTGCCGACGGCGATGTAGCGGAAGGAGACGCCCGGGAAGGAGGAGACGTTGGCCTTTACCCAGGCGGCCGCAGCGGAGCTGCTGGAGGCGAGGCTGGGTAGCGCCTTGCCGACGTCCATGAGGACGGCGATGCCCGTGCCGCTGAGAGCATTTAGGACGTTGCCCTCCGGCTCGTAGATCCGCATGGCGTTGATGCCCTTGGATTGGTAGAGCTTCACGACGTCGCTCGGCGCCGGCAGGTCGTTGCCGAGCACGCCGTTGCAGACGCCGATGGAGTGCACTGGAGAAAAAAAATGCGGCATGCAAGAGCTAATGAGTTTGATTTGTTGCGTTAGGTACAGCATGTAATCACCGCCCAAATACTACGATATCGTGTGCTAAATATACCTGCTGGAAATGCTGCGAAGGCAACAAGGACCAGCGCCACTGCGACGTCTACACCTTGCTTCGCCATCCTCCTCGCTTATGTCTGTGTATCTTTGAGGTGTCTTCCCCCTTATTTGGATGCAATGTACCAAGCACACTCGCCTCTTATATACACAAAAAATTCTCAGAACTACCAGGCAGTTTGGCCCAATAATAATTCTCAGAACTACCCGGCAGTTTGGCCCAATAATACACCATTACTAGTTTCTTCTCGGTTTCCATTTTCCATGGCACCTACAGCATGTGTAGTGCTGGCATGAGAGGAGACCGGCCGCCGGCGCAACTTGTTCGTTGGTCTGTGGAAACCAGCTGAACGGTTGTCACCATCCAGTCCGGCCATATTTTATCTTACGCGCGTTGCGGTGATTGACTCGATCCGTCCGTGAGCGATGAGGTCGTCGACGTGCCGCTGCAGGTCGCATTCCATCGCTGGGAGAGAACTTGGCGACACATAGAGCTTGTCTGGCTCGTGGAATTTCCTCACCGCGCTGACCGCTGACCTGGCCCGTCTTAAGGGCTGATGATGGCATCCACAGTGCGTCCTTTGTTGCTTCCTTGCCAGTTGCCACTAAAACCCCAGCTAAGCTAATTGTCTGTGAGTGCCTTGTGGGCTTGTGGCACGGGTGTTATTAACCTGGACTGAGAGTGGTAGTGGTTCACACCCGATTGAATCGACTGTACTAGTCTACCATAGCCCTTGGTCATCGTGGCAACCAAAGCAAGTTTTGTGTTTCTTCCTTTTTTTCCCTTTCTTTTTGTGAATAGGCAACGAAAGTGTTGGTGCCGCCTCCTTGCAGCGCCGCTCTTCTTCTTCTACATTGGTGCTGTCTCTCACAGCTCCCTCTCTTTTTCTCTGGTTGTTTCTCTCAAACACAAAAGAACACCCACACACGCACCAAGAAGGAGCACAAAGCTTTGCCCACGGGCTCTTCTCCTTGGTGAACATATTCGCTACATTTTGCTCTCAGCCCTCACGGCCTACTTTTTATTCATCTGATCAACACATATATATACAGCGGGCTGGCTCACGCACGCCCTGACCCAGCCTCCACTCGGGCCACTAAACCCACTAACCCATGCACACACACAAAGCTAGCTAACCAACTACTTGCATGCAGCCAGTTTCTTTCCTTGATTCACTCCAACGTCCCAAGACTAGGACTTGCATGCAGCTCACAACCGGATCAACCCAGCCGGCTAAACATGCTCATAGAGCCCCACACTCCAGCCTTCGTCGCACTTGCCGCATCACACGGCCACGCTGCCTCACGCAGCACTGCAGCCTCACGCCGCCATTGGCATCTCGCCATCATCGTCGTATCGCACGACGCCTTGGCATCTCGCCTTCTCCGCACGCCTCCGCTGAAGTTTCGTTGGACAACTACTCCCTAGACAAACTAAGCTACATGCATAACGAAAAACAAACTATGCAGATACACGAATCAAGATTAAGTCTAACATTTTCCTCCCTAATCTTGATTCTCCAATCATCACAATCTTTGATGCGGATCACCCGCCATCACTTGATGACGCCATCGCAGCGCCGTAACTAGCCACGCGCCGCCACCGACGCCGTCGCAGGAGCGGTCACCATGAACCATCTTATCGTGGATGACGTCCTCGCAACGCCAATCACCACACCGTCTTGCCGTAGACGACGCCATCGCAGCGCCGAGTACCACGGCCTCTTGCCGCATGTGGCGGCCATCTCTTCACGTGGACGACGCCTTCGCGGCGCCGATCGCCACACCAACTTCTCCTCATAACGGCCTCGCGCCGTCAAAGCCACCAGCGGCCTCGCGCTGCCACAAGCCTCCTGCTTGCGCCACCGGCCTCCATCTCACATGGAGTCCACCACGCCGCCGACGCCGCCACCGGATCGACCAGGCTCTGATGCCAATTGTTGGCGCCGCCTCCTTGCAGCGCCGCTCTTCTTCTTCTACATTGGTGCTGCCTCTCACAGCTCCCTCTCTCTTTCTCTGGTTGTTTCTCTCAAACACAAAAAAACGCCCACACACACACGCACCAAGAAGGAGCACAAAGCTTTGCCCATGGGCTCTTCTCTTTGGTGAACGTATTCGCTACATTTTGCTCTCAGCCCTCACGGCCTACTTTTCATTCATCTGATCAACACATATATATACAGCGGGCTGGCTCACGCACGCCCTGACCCAGCCTCCACTCGGGCCACTAAACCCACTAACCCATGCACACACACAAAGCTAGCTAACCAACTACTTGCATGCAGCCAGTTTGTTTCCTTGATTCACTCCAACGTCCCAGGACTAGGACTTGCATGCAGCTCACAACCGGATCAACCCAGCCGGCTCAACATGCTCATAGAGCCCCACACTCCAGCCTTCGTCGCACTTGCCGCATCACACGGCCACGCTGCCTCACGCAGCACTGCAGCCTCACGCCGCCATTGGCATCTCGACATCATCGTCGTATCGCACGACGCCTTGGCATCTCGCCTTCTCCGCACGCCTCCGCTGAAGTTTCTTGGACAACTACTCCCTAGACAAACTAAGCTACATGCATAACGAAAAACAAACTATGTAGATACACGAATCAAGATTAAGTCTAACAGAAAGCAAGTTAGAGCATCTCCAATTGGGCTGGACAAATATGACCCCTAAACGTCTGCGAACGCGTAGGTTTCATCGTATATACTGCATACATAGGTTAATACGAGCTACATTCAATATAGACTACACTAATGCTACTCCTCGTTCGAGGAAATGTTGATGACCTCCTTTCTGGAGCCTCCGGCCTCATGGTCATTTGCGGCGGGGTGGAACTCCAGCGCCTCCTCCTCCTCCTTGTCGGCGTCCGCGAATAGCCGCTCCTTCCTCATGTTGGCGAGGTGGATAAGGCGACGATTTGCCACCATCTCCCACCGGGACTGGATCAACTCCATGATGGCATGGTTCTTGGCCATGAGGCCGGGATCCACGACGAGCCCAGCGAAAGTGGCATCGCCTACGTGCGCGTCCTCAGCCACATGGTGCTCCACCTCCGTGGCTTTAGTAGGGGAATGTGCTACATAAGAAAAAAAAGTCGCGCACATAGATCTCAGAAACACTATGGAGGTACAAGTAATGATTATCTCACCAACGATCTATGCACCGGAAGTAGAGGAAGAAGAGTTGGTGAAGCTCACTGATTCCTACATCTAGAGGTATCCATGCCTCCCGATCTAGAGATACTGCAACACTTCATGGAAAGAG